CTCAGGAAAGAAGAGCAATCCCAAATAAACAGTCTAAACTCACAATTAACGAAACTAGAAAAAGAAGAACAAATGAAACCCAAAGTCAGTCGGAGGGACATAATAAAGATAAGAGCAGAAATAAATGAAATCGAGAAGAATAAAACAATAGAAAGAATCAATAAAATCAAGAGCTGGTTCTTTGAGAAAATAAACAAAATAGATTAACTCCTAGTCAGACTTACCAAGAAAAAAAGAGAGTCTACACACATAAACAGAATCAGAAATGAGAAAGGAAAAATCACTAAAAACACCATAGAAATACAAAGAATTATGAGAGAATACTACGAAAAATTATATGCTAACAAACTGGATAACCTGGAAGAAATGGACAACTTTCTAGAAAAATACAACCTTCAAGGCTGACCCAGGAAGAAACAGAAAGTCTGAACAGATGAATTACCAGCAATGATACTGAATTGGTAATCAAAAAACTAAATTCCATACCAGACGGTTTCACTGCTGAATTTTATCAAACATTTAGTGAAGACCTAATACCCATCCTCCTTAAAGTTTTCCAAAAAGTAGAAGAGGAGGGAATACTCCCAGACTCATTCTATGAGGCCAACATCACTCTAATACCAAAACCAGGCAAAGATACCACACACACACAAAAAAATTACAAACCAATATCCCTGATGAACATAGATGCAAAAATACTCAACGAAATATTAGCAAACTGAATTCAAAAATACATCAAAAAGATCATCCATCACGATCAAGTAGGATTTATTCCAGGGACGCAGAATGGTACAACATTCAAAAATCCATGAACATCATCTACCACATCAACAAAAAGGACAAAAACCACATGATCATCTCCATAGATGCTGAAAAAGCATTCAAAAAAATTCAACATCTATTCATGATAAAAACTCTCAACAAAATGAGTATAGAGGGCAGGTACCTCAACATAATCAAGGCCATATATGACAAACCCACAGCAAAGATCATACTTAACAGCAAGAAGCTGAAAGCTTTTCCTTTAAGAACGGGAACAAGACAAGGATGCCCACTCTCCCCACATTCATTCAACATGGTTCTGGAGGTCCTAGCCATGGCAATCAGACAACACAAAGAAATAAAAGGCATTCAGACTGGCAAGAAAGAAGTTAAACTGTCCCTGTTTGCAGATGACATGATATTGTACATAAAAAACCCTAAAGAATCCACTCCAAAACTACCAGATCTAATATCTGAATTCAGAAAAGTTGTGGGATACAAAATTAATACACAGAAATCTGTTGCATTCCTATATACTAATGATGAACTAGCAGAAAGAGAAATCAGGAAAACAATTCCATTCACAATTACATCAAAATAAATAAAATACCCAGGAATAAACGTAACCAAGGAAGTGAAAGACCTATATACTCTGAAAACTACAAGACACTCATGAGAGAAATTAAAGAAGATACCAACAAATAGAAACACATTCCATGCTCATGGATAGAAATAATTAATATTGTCAAAATGGCTATCCTGCCTAAAGCAATCTATAGATTCAATGCAATTCCTATCAAAATACCAACAGCATTCTTCAACGGACTAGAACAAATACTTCTAAAATTCATATGGAACCACAAAAGACCCTGAATAGCCAAAGCAATCCTGAGAAGGAAGAATAAAGTGGGGGGGATTATGCTCCCCGACTTCAAGCTCTACTGCAAAGCCACAGTAATTAAGACAATTTGGTACTGGCACAGGAACAGACACATAAACCAATGGAACAAACTAGAGAGCCCAGATATAAATCCAAGCATATATGGTTAATTAATATATGATAAAGGAGCCATGGATATACAATGGGGAAATGACAGCCTCTTCAACAGCTGGTGTTGGCAAAACTGGACAGCTACATGCAAGAGAATGGAACTGGATTATTGTCTAACCCCATACACAAAAGAAAACTCAAAATGGATCAAAGACTTGTAAGTAGGTCATAAACCCATAAAAGTCTTACAAGAAAACATATGCAAAAATCTCCTGAATATAAACATGAGCAACCTCTTCCTGAATGCATCTTCTCGGGCAAGGGAAACAAAACCAAAAATGAACAAATGGGACTACATTATGCTAAAGCTTCTGTACAGCAAAGGACATTATAAGCAGAACAAAAAGGCATCCTACAGTATGGGAGAATATATTTGTAAATGACATATCTGACAAGGGGTTAACATCCAAAATATATAAAAAACTCACAAGCCACAACACCCAAAAAGCAAATAACCCTTTTAAAAAATGGGCAGAGGATATGAACACACAATTCTCCAAAGAAGAAATTCAGATGGCCAACAGGCACGTGAAGAGATGCTCTGCATCACTAATTGTCAGAGAAATGCAAATGAAAACCACAATGAGATATCACCTCATGACAGTTAGGATGGCCAACATAGAAAAGAATAGGAACAACAAGTGCTGGAGAGGATGTGGAGAAAGGGGAACCCTCCTACACTGCTGGTGGGAATATAAACTAGTCCAACCATTGTGGAAAGCAATATGGAGTTTCCTCAAAAAACTAAAAATAGAAATACCATTTGACCCAGGAACAACACTCCTAGGAATTTACCCAAAGAAAACAACTTCTCAGATTCAAACAGACATATGCACCCCTATGTTTACTGCAGCACTTTTTACAATAACCAAGATATGGAAGCAACCTAAGTGTCCATCAGTAGATGAATGGGTAAAGAAGAGGTGGTACATATACACAATGGAATATTATTCAGCTATAAGAAAGAAACAAATCCTACCATTTGCAACAACATGAATGGAGCTAGAGGGTATTATGCTCAGCGATAAGTCAGGCAGAGAAAGACAAATACCAAATGATTTCCCTCATTTGTGGAGGATAACAATGAGGCAAAACTGAAGGAACAAAATAGCAGCAGATTCACAGACTCCAAGAAGGGACTAGTGGTTATGTAAGGGGAGGGGTGGGGAAGGGAGAAGGCGATTGTTGGATATCATGATTGGTGCACATGGTGTGTGTGGGGTCACAGGGAAGACAGTGTAGTTCAGAGAAGACAAACAGAGACTCTGTTGCATCTTAATACACTGATGGACAGTGACTGCAATGGGGTACGGGTGGGGACTTGATAATAAGGGTGAATGTAATAACCACATTTTTTTTCTTGTGAAACCTTCATAAGAGTGATATAAGAGCTTCTCTTCAGGCCAGCAGACTATGTGGACCCTGGATTTGTGTAGGGGTTAAGGAGAAAATATTCCCACCTCCCAGAGACATCATAAAATAAGCATACACCAAAACTATAACTTAACTTAATGAAATTGTATCTAATGGAATAAAATTGCATTTAAGGAAAGTTTGTTCTTTAAAAATTTACTTGGACTTCTTAAGACCATAAAGAGGGAAAAGAGAACAACAACAAAAATATGACCAGGGGCCTCTCAATGTCACCAGATTTCCTTTTCCTTTCCCTGGACTAAGCACTGACAATATGTAAGTACCTGCAAACTCCAAGGTGGGCATCCCTTCAGAGAACAAAAGTATAGCTTTGAAGTTAAAATTTAGATACTAAAAGTTAAAAACCATACTTCTTTCCATTACAATCAGTATGAGATTTTTGCTGGGTGCACCCTGGATTCTCAGATACTCAAATCCACAAGTTGTACCTCTGATGACAGACAGACCACTGTGGCTATTGGATCCTGGAAATTCAGGGCCACGGGTGAGAAAATGCTGGCATTACCACTTCTCCTTCACCCAACCGTCTGTCATGCAACCTTGACACAGTATCACATCCTTGCCTACCACACAGCAGTGGGGTGGGGGTGGCCAGGACCCGTGTCTGGACCTGAAGCCTTCCCACCTGGAGCAGGGTGAGGCTTTCCCACGGGCGGGCAGAGGCAGAGGTAACACAAGCTGAGTCCCTGGGGGTGGCACTTCTTCCAGCAGCTGTGCTCCTGTGAAAGCCCCATGCCTCCACCCTCCACCTCCCTGAGCTCTGCTTGGTGGTTTCAACTTCCTCTTTAGTTCCTTGCTAACCTATCTGGTAGTTTGTAGTTTGCTAGAAGGTACTCTAAACAAATAGCATATGCTGTTTGAGGGACAAGTCAATTCAGACATGTGGCAAACTATCTTCGAGATTCTATTTGTGCACTCTGAAATATATTCTCCTCATAAACTGGTAAACCTCTGTCATATCATTCTGGGGCAGCCTTTGAAAATGCACAACCAGACCTGTGCCATCCCACTACTCAATACCCTTCCCCACTTCAATCTGTCCTCCAAGCCATGGCTGATTAATCTTCCAAAGACATTTATGAAGAGAGGGGTGCTAGAAATTTCCCTGACAGTTGTCTAAGTGTTTAGGTTGTCTGAAGAAAGGAAAATAAATATTAAAAAGCTGCATCTCCTCCTCTAAAACGCAAATAGCATATACAGTGGCTGTTTAATTAATATATGAATATGGAACTAGACCAGAGAAAGCACTTTCCTTAGCACCTTATCTGTTAAAAATAGAGAAGAAAATAAAACTGGTTTTTTTGGAATCCACAGACCCAGGAATAGCTGTATTACACCAAACCACTCTTTCCAAAGCCATCCTTTGTATTAGAATCCTACTTGTCTAATCTTCTAGTAGTTTTACTTACAGATTTTTTTTTCTGTAAGTTACAATATATAACAGAACCAGCTAGGCATGAAGAAACCACTCAATATTAGGAAAAAAGATTTGGTCACCAAAATGTTCCATGATATATATACAAGCAACCGAAATTTTTAAAGCATATCACATCACCAGTGTCACAAAAGTGACACTGAGAAGTACTTGAAGTAAGTGCTTTTATTTAATAAGTAATAAAAGCACTTGAAATAGAAGCCACAGAAACCATTTCCCCCAGAAAGAAATATCACCACCATCTGAGTTTGCATTCAAACTCAGATTTTTGCTGTAACTTGAGCAATGGAAGAAAGTACTCACATGAATTAATCGTACCTGGTTTTCTATGGCTTTTCTGTTCTTTGGGTCGCTCACCACTGACAGCTGTAACTCGGCCATCTTTTTCATCTTGCTGTCCATATCTATCTTCTGCACAAGGTTTTTGGTCTGGTTCTTCAGTAGCCGAACTGTGTCCTCTTTCCCATGCTTCTTTGCAAACAGGGATGCACAGGCTGAATGGATGGCAGTGACCCAGTTTTCCAGATCTGTCTGGCTGGTGGCCTAAACATAGAGGAGGAAAAAAACCTATTTGAAATTGTTGTACCACAATGTGTTCTCCAAACGGGGAGGCTGGGCTTTGATGTGTCAAACCCAAGAGGTACCTTCACCTCATAAACCTGTTTAATTTCAAAAACACACCCAACCACTCAAGTGAGGTTCACAGGCTTCCTTGACTCCAGAGGGTCTAAGCGAGCATTGAGAGCAGAGCAAAATAATCATGCAACCCCAAATATGACAGGAAGATAAATTAAAAACAAGCTGTAAGCCAAAGACAGGAGAGGGATAGAAAAACCAGGGCACATCCACTCAGGGCTACGTTACACTGCTCTCAGGAAGGTGGCTTATCTTCATTATTGTAATAGACTGAGAAAACATGAGGACTAAAATGTTAAACTTAGAAAACTGAATATGAAATTTCATTGATGGTATGGATTCAATAATGAAAAATACTGATTAAAGAATACTTAGGAAGTGCACAATAACATTATGATAGCCTCTGAATCTTGGGAATAGAGGTAATGGCTCTTCTTTCTCTTCAGGACCTTCAGACACAATGACTATATACTATTTTCACTTAAGAAAAATAATTTATTTAAAAAAAAATGAAGTCTGAATAAGGTGGAAAGGGTAGGTATGATTCTAAGCAGACTGAGAGACACTTACCATTCCCTTGATGTTCAGAAGTAACCACATATATTCAAGCCACAGGGTTGAATCTCTGGGATCATATAATAGGACTTATTGGGAAAATGTCTTTAAACTAAGAATATTTTGTCTGGAACACAAAATATTAATTTCACACTTGCCCTTAAGAGGTCATGCAGATTCAATCTAATATATCTACCTTCTCTATAATTCAGATCAATATCAATTCATTACTTTGCTTTAAAGCACCACAGAAGGTTTAAGCAACTCTACAACTAAGAAAAGGAAAATCCAGCCTTGCCTCTTGTAAGTAGAGTCAGGCTTGGGAACTGTACGGCTAGAGGTCAGTGGGCATACCTGGTACTGGTGCCTAGAAATTATGTTGCAGGGAACACTTCAGAGAAGTCCAGATTCCCAAAGTCAGCCGAGAGAACACTGTTGTTCTGCAGAGCCCCTGGGAGTGTCCAGGACCAACTTTATCAGAGACCTGAACCCAGGACGTATGAGATTTTCCATGACCCTTTTGGCCAGATAGAATCTATAGCCCAAATTGTGTCTATGTGCAGTACTGGGAGTGGTTGGGGAAGCATTTCAGAAGCCATTTCACTGCCCGGCCATCACCACCATATTATTTACCCTTACAACAATCCTATCAGCTACTGTTATCCTACTGGGAGAAGGATCCGGACCTCAGAGCAGCTCAGTAAGTGCTCCAAGATGACAACAATGCACCCACAACGGCAGCAGGATCCGCGCCTAAGCCTGGCTCCAGGACCGGTGCTCAGCACCAGTCTGCTCCATGTCTTCTCACTCACTAGAAAGCTGTTATGGTTCCTAACAGTAGACAACCTAATCTTAACATGCTAAGCCACTTCCACTGGGCAACAAGACCCTATAGCTCTGGCCTACAAGGGTTTTCCTGAAAAGCTGCTTCTCTCACTCCCACTGGGATTCTTGGGAAGAACCTAATCCTCTCCTGTCCATATTTTCTAGGCTTCACTTGAAAAGCCTCTACTCTGGGATGCCAGGCTTTGCACTCATGAGCTCACAAGCTGCTCCAGGACAGGGAGCATGATTTTTCTCTCTTCGCATCTTGAAGAGCATCCCATGGCCCACTTGGCACTTCACGAGCAGGGAATGCTTGCTGTAGGAATTCCCTGCTTAAGCCCCAATCCAAAGCCCAAGGAAGCTTTCGCTCTATTTCATTGCCAAGTTGCACCTCTTAATTCTGTTCCTTCTCATCCTAATAGTATGCAAGCCACGCCTCAACCCCACATTTAGAAAGCCCAGGAGTACCTGGAAAAGGTAGACATCCCCGAGGGAGTTGCTGAGGCAGAACACGCTCTCCTTCTTTGGGTGCTCGGGTACAGACTGCACTATGCTGTCCTCTGCAAACAGGGCACACCGCGGGGAGCTCCTCTGGTCTGAGGAATTCTTCCCATAGGTCTCATAAAACAGCAGGGTGCAGCCTGGGAGAAAGACAAAGTAACTCCCCTGTTACATATTCTGAGGATCTAGGACAGGAAGGAGAAATAAGGGATTCATCTAAAAAAGGAAAAGAAAAAAATGAATGAAAACTATTTAATACAAAAGCAAATCCTGGTATCCCAAATATGCCTCTTTGTGTGTGTTAGCATAACTCAAGTGGAAAGGAGGTGTTTTTATAAATGTAATTTCGGCAATAACAATACCAAGCATAGTTGCATACTCTGTGCCAGGAACTCTGTGCTTCACAGGCACTGGCTCATTCTGCCACCCTGCCAGCCCCAGGGGAAGGCATGGGTATTGACTCCTTTGTGCAGGTGAGAAAGCTGGGCTGGTGCCACAGCTGTATGGCGGTGGGACAGGGGTCTGAATCCAGGCATTCAGGCTCCAGAACCTGAATTCTTAACCACCACACCACATTATTTAAGATCCGGAATGCAGGAGGCAGAAGAAAATCCCATATTCATTAATAAGAGAGCTTTTACACTTACCATTTGCACTAACAAGAAACTGAGTTACCTGGGGACCTTTGCCATTTGTGGAAAGGACTCAGTTTATTCTCCTAATACCATGTATAAAATAATTTAATTTTAGAATTTTAGAATTTTTTATATCAATGAAAGGAAGTATTACTACAATCTTATTAATTTACCTTGAAAGAAAAATGGAATTAAATGTCACTGAATTTTAAAATACTACTCTCGAAATGTTACTACATACACTTGTAAGTCCATAGCTTGCAAGTAATAAGCTAATAAAATATTGTAGGTAAGTTATTAAGGGTCTGCTTTGAGAGTTAGATAGGAATGCCTTCTTGTTATCAGATACAATTTTTAAAGCAAATTCTACAATGCTGACAAGCATGTTCTCCTGTTGAGTATCCTTTAAAACCTTCATCCAGTAAACATCTTTGAGCGCTTCTCATGTGCTAAGCTCTGGCATACAGACGATATGACTGATAAGTCACCATCCCTGTGCTCTGCAGACACCCTTTACATTGACAGTAAAGCCCCACAGGCTGCTTTCACCTGCACTGTAAATGAATGTACTCCACTGCTTGACTGTTTTACCTTGCTCTGCTGAATCCTTATTCATAAAAGCTTCAGTGTTTAAAAAATGATTTCATTCTTGCCAGTTTCACTTCTTCCTTTAAAAACACATCTTCACATGGACAAAAGGGTTATACAATGGAACTCAGTAAAGTACAGTAGCCAGAAGAAAAGATGCCTGCATCTGGCTCTGCAACCTGAACATTACCAGGACAACACTTTCTCCCTCTGTGGGGTCCTTTTGATATCAAGAAGCACTAGTAATATTTCTTCCTCAGAACAGAACTCATCCAAACTCGGGCTACGAGAGGTTCTTAGAACAAGGGGAAGCAGCAGGAGTTTTACGGCTAGAGCGACTTCCACTGAGCCAGTCCCTTTCTCCAGTCACAGAGGCACTTAGAAACAATGCCCCAGTCTTTGCTGTCTGACGCTATGCCCTGTTTGTCATGCCATGACCTGGGGGCCCAGAGACCAGAGGAAAGGTGACAGGGCAAGGCCTGCTCTGCCCAAGTCCAAATTCTTTCCAGTAGTTTAACAGTGACTCTCATTTTCCCTAACACTGTACGCCTGGTGGCTGTGGTTTGAATCATCACATCTAGAGGAAATGAACCCAACTTGGGGCAGATGCCAAGATGCTGTCAAACCTAACACCCTGTCTACAACCGACTGCGGCTCTAACATGGACGTGTGAAACCAAAACAGGACATTTTGTTTTAGAGCAAGGCCAGGATGTAAAACAATATGCAGAATGTGTTACTGTCGAGTTTAAAGAACAGGGAATCAATTGTAAATCTATTATATTAGGTTAACTTCATCTGCGTCTCTAACACTGAGCATGGAGGCAGATGGAAGGGGCTGCACCCAAGTCAGGAAAGCCTCTGCCCCATCCCCCCAGGGTTGTGGCCACTGGCCCTGCCCAGTCCCCACCAGGACCTGCCACTGGCCTGAAGGGTTGACCATAGAAGCTATTAGGTCTACAGCAGCAGAAAGTGGAAGCAGACTGGACAGCAGTGGAAGTACAAGAACAGAAGTATCATTAACAATATCACTAGTGGAAGGAGAGCAATTAGGTGTGTCTTGCCTCAGATCTACCTTTCCTTTGACATCCTCTCGATCCACACTCATCACCCCATCCCCCGGCTTGGCCTGCCGCAGGGCAGAGCCACCAGCATCCTAAAATTACTTCATGGACCCCTCACTGACATTGGGGGTATGCTGTGCATTCTAAGGGCTATCTTTAACGACCCTGCCAACTTTAATGGCCTTGCCAACTCTTCAGCCCAGGAAGTCCCCTCTGAACTGTCTGAAAATCCAATCATTGGAAATGACAGATGGAAAGCAAAATGACCCTTCTTAAAAATTTATTACCTCCCCTCCACAAAGCCCTACAAAACATTTATGCCCTTAGCGTATCTATACATTCATTGTAGGTATATAACCAGATGGCTTGCTAATAGCTGCTCTCTCCAGAACACTGTTTCCAATTTATTTACATAGACACTTCAAGGATAATTTTTAAATTCTGCAAAAAAATGTACTTGTGTGTATATACACATATATATATATTTTTAAGATCAAACCAAATAGTTGAGTCCAAACATTACAATTTGGATTCTAAGCCAAGAAAGCTGCACTCAAACTATGGAATTCCCAGAGGAAAGAGGTGCAGAAAGCCACATGGAAAAGGTTATGCTGGGAAAAAACATCTTTATCGTATGCCTTTCCTTGGTTGCAAAGGAAACAAAGGAATGTGTGCTTGATAACATTTACACTACAATGCACCCTTTCTCCATGGGGCTTGAAGCATTTTATAAGCAAGCACTGAGGCAGCAGGGCCCAGAGAGGACTGCAGATCTTACCACCGTCAAAGACAACTCAGGGCCATCACTGCAGGAGAAGTCAGAGCTGAAAGTCCCTGATATAGTGTGCGTGTGTCAGGCATGGGATGCAATGGATGCAGGAACCTGGAGATGAGCTCTTCCAACCCTCAGTGACACCTGCCCGAATCTCCCTGGGAAGCCTCTAAATCTGGTTCCACACAAATATCTTCAGGAGCAGGGAATTCAGGAAGGGGGTGACTTGCCTCTTGCCCGTGGCTCTAGTTGCTCTTGTTTCTTACATTAATCCAGAATCAGCTCATCTTCTATCTGTGAGTCCAATGCTAGTCTCTGGTTCCCAGAGTAAAATTGGTATCTCTTCTGTAAGGCTGTGCTTCATGCCCAACCCAGTCCTTACTTCCTCCAGGCTAAATCTTCCTAGATCCTTACGCCATCCTGCACATGGCATGACCCTAAATCCCTCCAGTGTCATTCATGGCCCTGCTTCTCAAAGTAGCATGTGGATGCACAAACATATACAGACACATCATCACTGGCCCCCCAACCCCCACAGGGGGTACACCAGGAGTTTTCATAAGACAAGCAGGGAACAATTTCCCAAGAAATCAGTTTTAACAAATGGACTTTACACTTAAAAAAGAAAAAAAAAGGACACATATGATAGAGTCTATTATAAATACCATGCAAATGGGAAGCAGCTTCAGACCGTGATCACAAACAGTTCCAGACGCCTGCTGCCTGAAGCAGACAAGTTCACTCTCCTCTTCAGTTAGAGACACTTCAGGTAGGACCTTTTCTAGAACCATTGTCTTGTTTACTAACATGTCTCCTGCAATAGCATGGCCCCAAGGAAACGGCCAAGTCTTACCAGGCAGAGGAAGGACTCATGCAGTTACAGACCACATCAGATTCACTTTTATTTCAGCTTCATCACAGTGGAAACTCATTCCACGAATGGCCTGTAGATCAAACCTCTAAATCTTCTGCACATATAATACTTTGCAGCCACATCTCCCTATTCTGTACTTGAATACTTATTTGGTTATTAAATCTTAAAGCATAACTTCTCCCTTCAAAATTTTATCTTGCTAGAGTCGATATGTCTTCCCAAACCTCTTCTATCAATAAGCACTTTGCCTCCCTCAGCCACAATATATCACAGGATCCAAATCCAGAATTGGAAAAAAGGCAGTCTGTGTAGAATGCTGGGTCTTGGGGTTTACAAAACCCTCTGGTTTGCCAGGAAAAGGTGTTACTTAAAGAAGAAATGCTTTGACGAGGGCACCTTTCCCAGAGGGGCTTAAGGGTAATTATGCACCAGTGCCTGCTCCCAAGGCAGGCAGAGCGGGTGGGGGGCTTGCATTTTCTAAACAGGAGGCAGGAATAAGCTAGAAAGGAGCAGGCAGAGGGCTTCGGGCCTTTCACACATGCTGTCTGCAGATGAGATTCCTGATTCCTGTGTCTGCTTTCTCCCGTGATAAGAAAGGGTGTCGGCTGATAATGAAGCTTGATTTTGAACACCACACTCAGTTCCTGATAGTCACAGAATGGCTGTGCAGAAATGCCAGAGGCCAGGAGCCTGTTCTTCCTGTTGACATTGTATAAATCAGCACTGTATTGACTTAGAACCTTGCTCCTCCTCAGGACATTTAGAAAGCTTCAAATCTATACACCCACAGTGAGCTAGGCAGTTATAATTTTTAAATGGCAATGCATGGGAGAAATTTTTACCATCTTAACAAATTCTATTCCCATTTCCTTTACATTAAAAAAAACACATTTGTTTATGATAATAACAATTAGACTCTTAGTTCATAAGGGTGGGGTAACACAAATCAAATAATCCGGATGAAATTCTTAGTTGTACACTTTGAGAAGGATACCTCTCTGGAGTTCTGAACATGTGCAGAATATGAATTTCAGGATCTACGTTCCAAATAACTAAACTACATTTGGTTACTTACTTTCCCCCCACATGCAGAAATACCTATAATAGGCAATAACTATTCAATTCAATCAATATTTATTAGCATGAATAATATATATGAACACTAAGTAACTTATATTATATAGTATTGAGAAGTATTTATAGTAAAACCTGCTGGCAGATTCTGTATCAAATCTCTTCCCATTAACTTAAATGGGCCCCCTGACATCTCCTGGGAAGAGGGCAGCTGGAGGAAGCAATGCCTGTGGCCCCTGAATAAGTAACGCACTTACCTTTAAGTGTTACCCAGAACTGTTTCCACTTCCTCCGAGCCACCAGCTCCAGCTTCCTTTCCTTCTGCAGAGTGACAAGTGGTTTGAAAAAGAGCCACCCGGCTTTCCGGACCACCCCTTGTTCCTTCTCAAAGAGCAGATCCAGTTGCTCCAAAGAGCTGAGTGACTCACTGCTGGACTCTGCGGTTTCCGTGGACGTTTCTACGTTCTCCGTGTTGGTCCTGCTCATCTCCAACTCTCGCATGAAATTCTCGTAAATGTTCTGTTGGAGGGGATCGCTGCCGATCACATGAGTAGATTCGCTTCTCTGGGACAGGATCTGAGCCGAGCCCCCTGACCACAGTGAAGCCAGCACTGGAGAGGGCCCCTGCATCTCCACATTCAGTCCATCTGAGAGGCTGTCAAAGTAGTCACTGCCCTCCTTGGACCTCGGCTCCTGTGAGCAATGCAGATGACCACCCATCAGAGATTACATACACGCAGCGTCCCTTCTCCAACAGCGCATACGTGTAATACTGTTGGATGCTAATACCTCCACTGCAAAGCAAGATTTGTTTCACAGAAATGCATCTTTAATCATCAAGCCCTAAACCAGAAAGAACTGTACACTGTTGCCCAACCCAATTTTTAGCCAGTGGAGCCAATGCTTACAGATGTAAACAAAACACTACTGAGTATCCTAAATCTAACCTATGCTTAATTAGCATCAAGATATTAGTGTATTTAAAACACACTAGTGAAGATTTCTAGACTGATATTTCTTTGCTAATTGTGAATCAGTGTCTTCAGGGAAAGAATTTGTGTTCTTGAAATCTTGAAGTCTGTTTTCCTCTTGGATCCTTTCAAAGCTAACTAAGAGAATCACTCATTCCCAGGTCAAGTGGGGAGGGGATATAGGGAATGGGCGTCATTATACACAAACTTCTCTTCCTTTCCCTAGAGCCAACAGTCTCACCACCTGCAGGCCTTGACACTAGAGGTGCCTAGACTTGGAGACCTCTAGCATCTCATTTTCCCACTTCAGATAGTAAAAACCATGCACCAGGGATTCCTTATCCACAAAGAGTAGTGGCTAGCAACTCAGCCTTTTTTTTTTCATAACTAATATTTTTTATTTAATTTGGGAATTTCTTCCATGGAAAGAATATTGTCATTCACACACTCACATCCTTTTATTTGAATACCTACTTTATTCTAGGCACTGTGAATACCAAAGACATGATTCTTAACTTTAATATTTATTCCAACACAAAATCAGACCTAGGCAGCTCTAAAGAAAATTAATACTAATATAATAACTGCTGCCCCCTATTAGAACCACATGCACTCAACACTGAACTGGCCATGCACAGAGCTGAAAGCATGAAGGTTTCCCCTGATGTCTAGATTACAAGTCTAGTCACTCAAGAGAAATAACTTTTACATGGGTCATTCACTGGTAAATAGCGGGAAGTAAATTTTCCAGCAGTGAGCTTAATTTGTGACTCAAAAGACACTGAAATTCCAAATTCAGAGCTTAGATTAAGGTATCTGCAGAGAGATGTTACACACACTCATTCACTCAGAGGCTACCTGGCTCTCAATTACATTTCCTTATCCATTAAAATAAAAATGAAAGGAAACTGAGTTGAGGACTATGGACCAAAGGACTTATTTTGAATGTACAGCCGTGTGGAGGGGTTTTCTTTGTAGGCATTTCATTCAGAAATCAAGTTGTAATTATTTGCCATCTTTCATAGGAAAATCATTAGTTTGCTTTCAAATACCTAAGGGTTATAAACAACTGAGCCCCAAACACAGCTATTACTAATGAAAATATTATTTTCCACTCATGTTTACACTATGTCCCATAGTCATATTTATTTATGCACTGATGCTTATGCAAGCATTGAGCAAATAAGCCAGCTACAGTGACTCACTCTGACAGGAAACTTTCAAAATAGTTTAAGATTCTGTTTTTAATTGTCACTTTGTTGCTCTTCAAAAACTCCCAGGAGGTGAATGAATACTTCTCATTTAACTAATATTAACATTACTTCAGCTATGAATATGACTCTCTAACTCATACTCCCAGAACACTAGGATTACCTCTGATATCCAGCAAGCTATAATGGAGTATTTTAAAACAAGAAAAACCCTGCCAGAGAAAGACACTTAAGTGCTAAACTTAAACACTCTAGACAGTGTTTCCTTAAGAGAGAGGCTTCAAGTTTCAGTATTAACTTTTAAATATTGGACCATAGCAATGTAGAACAAATTTCCTTCTTGAGAATGGGAAAGAGATTGCATTTTAGCATTTATAACTGACTGCTGTACTCAGACATGAACTTTACCAGTCTCTAATAAATTTCTAAAGCTTGCTCTCTAGAATCCTAATAGCCAGGGATGAATTTTCAGGCTAATGGAAATGAATGTGTGAGTGAATGAATGAATGTCCCTAAATAGTCTCAGCTGGATTTCCCAATCACTGCTGTTATGGGTGTGGAACTAAGATGTCATGTTATACATGTACACAAGCAGTCTGATTTCCATTTCCCCCCCAGTCAGATAATCATAAGTGATGGATAACATAACTTCATGACCAGGACACTATAGCAAAGAGTAGAGAGGGACTAAGAGGTGTTACTCAACTCTTCAGGAGCTAAAGTAAAACTCTGGTCATCATTCTTCACTTTCTAGGGAAAGCACCAAGTTCGTACCTGTCATTCATCCTGGGCCAATTTCCTCTGTTACAGTGTAAGGACCCCTGTCCTCTGCAGGAATTCCCTGTGACTATGCAGCTCTCAAAGAGCCAGGAGAGTCTAAAATTAAGGGGGCCCGAGAGTCAGGATCTCCTAAATCTACTCTATGAACTCTGCAGTAGTCATCTGCGCTGCCCCCCAAATATTTCTGGTCCTTCCCTAGAGCACATGGCAGGGTCATTTCCTATCCCTCTCTCCCCTTAAGTTAGGCATGGCACATGATTTGCTTTGGCCATAAATGCAAACACAAGTGGAACCTGTCATTTCCAAGTGGAAGCTTTAAAAGCCAACACATGATTTCTCTCTCCTCTGCCACAGTGGCTTACACTGTTCCAGCTGGTAGCTGCTCTGAGGACCTGGGATCTCAGAGAGGAAAAATGTAAACCAGTATTTCAGCACAAGTGAGAAAATGTACTTGTGCTCAACCTCAAAGATTTGAGGGCTTATTACCTCAGCATAACCTAGCCTACCCTAATGGATAGAACTGAAACTATACCCAGGACAAGAACAAGGACTCACAGGTCTCCGGACAGCTACACTAACACGAAGAGTTTACAGACATCAAACCAAACGCATACTCCTCTCTAGCATGTGTTGGTTGTCCATCTGTCTGTCTGTCTCCCTCTTCCCTCTGTGATTAGCATGATGCTATTTTTTGGTTGTGTATATTTTTTCACTGATTAATGTGCTTCTGGGCTCTAACTCACCCAAGGGTTTGAAAGCCATATAAAGAAAGGGTGGCTCTTTTTACAACATTTTTTAAAAAACAAAACAAGTATGCCCATCATAGTAACCCTTTCTGAACCTTATCTCTGCTGGCATACGGAAGTCTGTGTGTATGTAAAAGAATATGCATTTGTTTGGTGCCTTATTATATAGTATATTATCACAAAGTTTGCTCCTATGCACTGACTATATTTTTAAGGATCTAAACCTGTTCTTCACCACAGATTGTAAAAGAAAAACAAAAGTATGGCAAACGGAAGTGGCATACTTGCCAAAAAAGTTCATCTTGTTCACCTTTATAGATTATTAATCATGGGAACACAGGCAAAACTAAAAAGCTGCCTTTATAGGCCACTTTTTAAAATTCTAAACAGTTTATCATCTTCATATTCAATGACCTGAAAGTAATGCCCAGGAGCTTTCAACAATACCTTGGCCATATGGCTGAGTGGAAAAGGTCCATGTCTGATGCTTAGCAGAAATGGCTTTGGCCGTGGCTTCTCCACTAACTAGCTACATGACTTCAGGAATGACCTCCACACTCCTTGAACCCTTAGCTTCTCATTTTTAAAATGAGATAGTCCTTTCTAGCTTTCAAATTCAGATCTTTGGTGGTATAACCAGTATGTTCTTAACTCCAGACTCACCAATCATTCCAATCTAAGTCTTTGGAAGGTACAGACTTGCAGGAAGTTCCTTGCCTGTGGGTGAGCTGGGCAGTGAGGGTCGGCCTGGGACAGAACGTGGTCAGTACACATGGCAACTGGTCTGCTTTTGAGCTGAACTGAAACTGAAGCTGAATGAGACTCCACAGAGCCATAAGTAAGTCAGGCCACAAACGTAGGTGAGAAACACACTCTATGCAAATAGGAGATGCAGAAGAAGTGGCTCAATGCCAGTATCAATTAGTGCTCATAGTATATGACATAAGTGGGCATTACAACATTTGAATAAAAAAGACAAAAGAGTTATCTGCATGGGGTGGCAGCCCAGGAGAAAAGAGCAGTTATTTCTCCTATGATCCTCAACTGCTGTCAGTTTGTTTGGAAAGTGGGAGCTGAGAGAAAAGGTCACAGAAATCTCTACTACTTAGTGGTTTAGCCTAAAGAGGTGACATGTAAGAAGTAAGCAAATTACTATGTTCAGGGATCTGAAGAGTTTGTACAGGGTGGCAATCATCTCTTATTTATTTCTGTGTAAGGGAGCAAATGGCAATGAAGCACAGAATAGGACAGGTAGGATGGGGGTGTACCTTTTACATATAAGGAAACAGCTAAGGGTACACTTTATAGAGCTGAAACAATCTGCTTAGGGGAGTTATATTATTTTCTACCCCTAAAGCTCTCTAAAATTGTATAATTATATATCCATATAGGATGGTTAAAATGCAATTCTACTAGAGACAAACTGCCCATTCAAATTCCCTTCCACAAAATGACTTCTGTTGTGTTATCTATAGATAACTAAAAGTAAAAACAAACAAAACAGAACAAAAAATAAGATCAAAGAAACTGAAAACTAATGGTAATTGCCATTAGTTAGCTGAAAAAAGCAAACTATTTTTTTCCTTCCTGGTGAATAAAGCCCGTGCTTCCCCCATTAAAACTTTATGCACCATTAAAAGTATTAGTATCACCACGATTCTTATTTTATCAGTATTATCATATTTGTGCTATTACATGCTCTTAGGTACAAGGCATAAAACTGTTAACTGTTCCCACGAGGAAGTGGTAAGATCACACGTATAGACTGATCATCCACTGTTGTCTGATGTACGACTCAAGTACAGTAATGTTAATGTTCCCATAGTAACACAGAGTTGAGGAAGGCTACTCATCCCCAAAATGACCACAGTCTACGCCTGGCGCTTTGTGTTTAGGCTGTAAGAACTGCCCCAGCTCAAGCCCAGACGACCAGTACACTGGGAAGTCTCTCCAGCACCGGATGTCCTAAGCATGGGTCAGCCAAGTCTTGGAATGAGACCTGTCGAGTTCATGCAAGAGCGCAGGCAGCAAGATGCACGGAACTGGAGGACCCGCAGACCGGGACTGAGGGGGACAGTGTACACGGGACACCACAGGAAAAAGCCCACACCGGCAAACAAGCCGTGCCAGGTCTCAGGCTAACCCCCTCTCAGGGGCAAGGCTCCGGGGCAGCCTCCGCTCGCGCCCACTCTGCGGCAGGGGGAGAGCAGGGCTGACTCACCTGCAGCTTCCGCTTCTTCCTGGACAGGCTCCCCGTCCAGTCGCTGATCCGGCGTATCCGGGCCTTCAGGGAGTCCTTCCTGGCGGCGTCCTCGGCCCAGGCCCGGGGCTTCCGGCAGGGCAGTGTGAAGGACGCGTACCGGCCGGGGTCCCCGGGCGCCGCCCGCAGCGGCGCGTCGAGGGCCGAGGCGAAGGCCACGTGGCTGCCAAGGCTGGCGCGCGGCCCGAGGCGGCCCTCGGAGAGCCGGCGCCCCGACGGCGAGAGGCCGCGCGGGCCAGCGTCCCGGCAGAGCTCGCGGAGGGAGGCGAGGGACGAGCTCTGGGTGAAGGGCTTCTGCGCACCCCTGGGCGGCATGGGGCCCTCGGCCTCGCCCGCCTCGCCGGCCGCGTGGCCCCAGGGCGCGTCGTACCAGGACGACTCGGAGCTCAGCGAGCTGCCCTGGCTGGAGCGCGCGTGCGCGGCGCCGGGGCAGAGGCGCGGGCTGGGCGGCGAGGCGGCGGCGGCGGGGCCCGGGGCGGGCGAGAAGCGCAGCAGCTGCACCGGCCCGCCCGCGGCCCCCGGCGCCTCGGGGCTGTCGGTGCCGCCGCTGTGGAATTCGACCCTGAGACACCCGTCCAGCTTCCCCAGCGTCTTGATGAGCACGCGGGGGCTCCTCCGGTCCTCGCCTGGCGGCGCGCAGGCCGTGCTCTCGTTTCTCCCATAGCAGCTGAGAAGGTGCCCGTTGCAGTCCCTGGAGGCAGCGCGGTTGTCCGCCCGCTGGTGCCCAGCGCAGGGGAAGCCATTCTCGGCAGAGAAAGCAGCGTTGCTGCCCTGGAAATCATTTCCTGAGGCACTCGTCCTGTGCTTGGGGTAGGCACTGCCTTTGGACACTTTGCACGTGGGTCCACCAGGTCTTGATGCATAGGGCTGATGACCCTTCAAGTGGGAGAGGCATCTTCGGGCCAGAGACCTGGACTTGTAACCTGCTCCGCTGCTTCCGTGACCCCAGCCATGCAGTGACTTGTCATCTTTTGCATGAATGCTGCGTATTTTCAGGGAGCAAGGCTTTGGCTTAGCACCAGTAATAGTATTGCTATGGTTTTTAGATCCTTGAAGGGTGTACTGACTCTCGGAGTTGCCCATTTTAACCTAAATTAAGGAGAGTAACAGCAGCAGTCACGACCTAAATTACATTTCACTATGACAGGACTTTCAAAAAATTGTTTTACACATCACAAAGGAACCAAGACACTTCTTTCTGTTCCCAAGAAGGACAAGGGTTACTTACTGAACTGGTCCTCCTGCAATGCAGGTCATCAACCAGATGCGCAGTATCACGTGTTCAAGTACCAGTTACTTTCAACAGATGATTTGCTGTATGATGTTAATTCAGAAATTCAACAGGCGTAAACGTCAGCTTAAGGCAGAGACCTCCCTGAGGCATAGTTTTGGGAGATTTTGAATCAATGATTCTTGAAGAGGGGAAGTGAGGGGAAAGTATCTTTACTCTGTCACTCTGATTCATTGATTTTTCAATACTCAGAGAGGAGATGTATGTTCATTATACATAAACTACTGGAAGAGCTAACCCAGGTCCCTAACGTTAGAGATTACTGCTCAAAACTCCACGTTTGTAATGACTCCAGGTACTGCACTCTGTTGGAGCTGCTCTCCTATATCATACAGAGTAGGAATACCCCCAAAAGAAGCCCAGAAGCCCTCAAAAACTAGTCTGAAATGGGGGGGGGGGAAACATAAAGGCTCTCATTTCAAGGAGAAAAACATTTTAATAAAACCAGTCTCTAAAACTTTTCTAAAGATTTTAAGGGTTCTCACTTTAGAACAGGAGGGACAAAAGAAATGAAGGGACTCATTCATCTTTAATGCAGGCATCTGAAAAAACTTAGATTCCTTTACTTCCCTTTAAAACCCCAGTTTGCTCAATGAGTCTGTTAGTTAAGCCAAACTCGAAGTGAAAATCGATCTGAACCTTCCCCCCTTGGTTTTTCATATATTATAATTTGAGGCAAGCTGGAGGTGGTATTTCCAGTTCCATTTCCAAATATATGTAATTGATTTTTAATTTTAATTCCTCTATATATAAAAAATATACAGCCACAAAAGTCAAATGGATTGACTTTTCTTTGGCAGCAATTATCAACAATTTTAAAACGAAAATAACTAGCTCAAATAATCACATCTTTACTTACTACCACACTCACAGGCATGCAACGTGACGAACCACAGCTCACATGAGCTGGATTTACCTGGTCTAGTTTGTGCTCTGAGGGAGACTACTGGCTAGTAGGCTGTACGTGGTCCTGGGAACAAGGCAGCGTGGTTAACAAGTACAGGAAGTGAGTCCATGAATGACCCTGGAAAACAGAAATATGAGAAAACCCTGTTAGGCGTTTTACATCAACCTCCCAAAAGGTAAAAACAAAGGTTTAATGTAAATCTGCTGAAGAAACGACTGGTGTCCAGAATCACTGTCCAAATAATAAATGAAAGGCCTGAGAACTGCCTGATTCATCTGTTGTTTGGAAGATATAAAGGAAGCCTGAGCTGCCTGTCCAGTCTTGTAAAAGTCATTAACTCAGCACACAGTCTGTGGTCAAATGCATGTCTTTGTTTCAGGAGTGGGCAGGTGAAGCTCCGGAATGGGTTGTGGCTCATCTGTCACCGTACCAGGAAACCACTCTCAGGCTCACCGCACCAGACAGATTCAGGAGCACCATCCTGACACGATGAGAACATTCCTTTGTTCTCTACTGACGGTGCAGTACAAAACTCAGAAAGGAGAGTCACAGTGAAAGAGTTCTTGGCTAAACTAACTTGTGAGATAGAGGTTGACCCTCTAAATGAGACTGAAAGTTTTTCTCAAGCCCACGTTTGGGCCTTGCCGCAAGAAGAGCAGAAGCAGGCCGCCTGCCTTTGAGGGAAAGGGGGCAGGCTGGGGGGCTGCCATCTGGCAGGGCTCGCTGCCGGGACACAAAGCCTTTATTTTCTCTGCAGACAGACAGAGCAGGGCAGTGAGGGTTCAGTGGTGACTTTTCCCTTTTTTTAAAAAAGTTTATTTGTAATTGTGGTAAAATACACATAATGGAAACTTTATCATCTTAACCATTTTAAAGTATCCAGTTTGTAGTGTTAAGTACATGCACATTGTTAGGCAATCAATCTCCAAAATGCTTCATCTTGCAAAACTAAACCTCTACACCCATTAAACAACTCTCCCCCTCTCTCTCCCCCATCTCCCCAGCTCCTGATGACCATCGTTCCGCTTTCTGTCTCTATGAATGTGACTACTCCAGGCACCTCATGCAAGTGGAATCATATGGCATTTGTCTTTTTGTGCCTAACTCACTTCACTGAGCATGTCTCCAAGGTTCATCCATGTTATACCATGTGTCAGAATCTCCTTCCTTTTTAAGGCTGAATAATATCCCATTGTATGTATATACCATATTTTGTATATCCATTTCATCCATCAAAGGACAACTTAGCTTCCCACTTCTTGGCTATTGTGAATAATGCTACTATGAACATGGGTGTACAAATACCTCTTCAAGACCCTGTTTTCAATTATTTTGGGTATATAACTAGAAGTAGAATTGCTGGATCATGTTAATTCTATTTTCATTTTTTTGAGAAACCACCATACTGTTTTCCATAGTGGCTGTGCCATTTTACATTCCCACCAACAGCGCATGGGGGAACCAATTTCTCTACATCTTGCCCAACACATATTCTCTGTTTTGTTAATAGTGGCCATCCTATGAGTAGGAGATAATATCTTGTTGTGGTTTTACTTGGTATTACTCTAATGATTAGTGATGTTAAACATTTTTTTATGGGCATATTGGCCATATGGATAGCTTCTTTGGAGGGTTCAATAGTGACTTTAAAAGTTAATAAAGCACTGCACTGGACCAAAGTTTCTCCAATAAGACCAAAGACACGAGTCTGCCCAAGATTAGCCACACACAATTGAAAGAAAAAATAAAGTCAAAAAGAGTTTCCACTTAGGTATCAACAGGAGATCTAATAGCTCACTTAAGTCTACTAGACTGAGGCCTACCTGTAATCACTGAGGCCCGCAGTGGGGCCCGCCCTGGTACCAACCACTTTCCTGCTGGTGGGCAACACTCACATCTAAATGATGAATAGCCACCGAATGACTGCCACTCAAAAGGGGCCCACAGACCTCTCCAACCCCAGAGCTGAAACACAAGAACCCCAACTTTTAAAAGTTCAAAACCTGAGTTGTCAGTCTTTACTCTGCTACACTTTTCTTTTAAAGTAAGGAATAAAAGCGGCCAGAGAAACTCCCATCCCCTGCCGCAGAGACATCTTACCATTAGATGGGGGAAGCAGGGAGCTTGTTTACTTTTGTCAAAACCAAGGCCCATTGATGACCCCAAAGGTGAAAGGCTCCAGGGCTGCTCGCCCAGCAGCCACCCTGCTTTGTCTGGACTAAAGGTCACATGCCCAAAGCCGGTGAACACAGCATGGCTGTCAAGCTCTCAGCACCAGTGCACAGAGCTGCTATTGAGAGCCCCCCGTGTCAGCTGCTCACGGACACACAAAGACTGGGATTCAAAGCTGTAGAATGGCTGTGGGGCTGGAAGCTTACGCCCCAGCAGCAGGTTACAACCTGAGCTCAGCCTACTGCTTTTGAAGTTAATAGCTTAATTTTTTATTTCATGTTATATTCCAAAAAACATAGCCCTGGACCCTGTCCTCCATGAGGCGCTGTCCACTCAAGGCCTGCAACTTTGGGCTTACGTAAGTACTCAATAAACACCTGTTGAACTGAATGGAAGCAATATCACATGTGAGAAGGTTGACTTGGACACAGACAAAGTGCGGGAATCATTTCCAAATGGGTCTGGCTGAAAGACTGACATATAAACCCAGGGAGAAATGTTTTGATAATGCACATGGTATCACCTAGAGAAAAGTAAAGCAGAGATGATAGTGGTGGATGACGGTATGCATTGTTATGTATGGGTAATGCACGCCAGCTGCTCAGCATCTTTACTCAACCCCAGCCAATGGAAAAGAGCCTTAACCCATACGGAGAAGAACTCCACCAGTATTTTTGAGGAACCTATTGACAGGAAGGGTAATCTCTGAGGGAAACTATGGAATTGTCCCTAAGGAGTTCGGCAAACTGAACAGATACTCACCTTTCGTGCTTTAGCTGTGATTTTTCTCTGGAAGCAAAAGGATAAGTAGTTCATATTTCGGCACCCCTGGCTCCTTTACTAAGGGAATTTTATGGTATTAAAGTTAAAAATTGTATGTGTGTGTTGCTAGAAATGGGGCTGAAAATATTGAAATGACAGATTCCTTGTGAACTATTTTAAAAAGTGAAGAAACAGGTAAAAGCTCCCAGTGTCTTTAAATAGAAAAAAAATACATATTAGGTATTCTGCAATAACACCTATTAGGAATACTAATGTGTGATAATACAAATTAGGTATCTTAACCTGGAATAATATGTATTAGGTATGCTAACGGGAATGAGATCCTTAGCTGACCAAGAAAGCATTTAAGTGAAGTCACTGTGGAATAAATAAATATATAACGTGGTGCTAAGACTGTGTGTACTTAGCAAATACTGTATGCATGCACACTGCTTTATAGTAATTTTTTATTTACTGCATAATTAGAATATTAGAATTTTTAACAATGGACCACAATCTCATGAACCTAAAAAAAAAAAATCCCTTTCATTTTCTGTACTCTTCTCCAATCCCCATTCATGTGATTGGGCTAGGTAGCTTTTTAAGCTAAAATCACAAATAAGAAGTTTAATCATTAAAAATTGTGATCAATCACCACCCCAGACATATCCAGCCACGTGGAGGAATTTCACAAATAAGTCATCACAATCCAAACAGCCACTGTGACCCAAGGAATCCCACAGCAAAATATCTTTTAAGAGGATATTTAAGATTTACCTTTTCTTCATCTGCCCTGTGCCTGGGCTTGACCTGCTGTGCCGATTCCCACAGTCTCCACTTCCACACAGAGCAGTTTACGGCAGAGGAAACTAGAACCTCCGGCGCTGCTTTGTCTCCGGCCTGAGCTGGCTGCCCAGATGCAGCAACTAAAGGGGAACAAGAGCAACTCCCGGGGGGCCAGATGGTGCTGTGAGGAGAACTGGGGCTGACTGGTGACAGCGAGCAGAAGCGTGGGGCCACTGCATGAAAACAGATTTATAGCTGGGCAAGGCAGTTGGGGAAGCTCAAGTTCTACCACCATGAGATACCAGCTAGGCTTCTCACGTAATTCCAGAGAGATTTTTATACTGAAATAGGAGCCTCATCACTGCCCAAGGCAAATATTTCAGAGAGTGATAAGGGCTAAGAAAATGATAATAGGACTAACCATCATCAACCATAACAATATCTATTTGGTTCCCTTTATTTGGGGGTAGGAGATTGGGGGTGTGTGGGGGGGCTTCATTCATTAAGGAGACAACTCACAGAATCCTTGTCTGGTTTGTGTCAGAGAAATTGGGTTTAAGACCTGTTTGCATCTCTTAAATAGCATTAGTCTTTGGACAAATTGCTTATGCTTCCTGAATCTCCTTTTCCCCAATTCCAACTTGAAGATAAAAATATCTGCCCTACCTACCTCACAGATCAAGAATTGAGTGTGAAAATATATGTAAAATTAACCAAAAAGCTGTGAAATGAAACATAAATACAACACAAATATACAAATCACTATTACTTTTTAGTTATAAATCCAATTTTGCATAATATATCAGATCTTATTAAACAATCTGTTATTTCACATATTTTATTAACTGATTATTAGATCAATTATTGTATTTACATATATAAATTTGGAATCACCCAAGCTCTGTTAGCACTTTTCTGATTTTGATCAATTCCTCAAATCATAACAGTACATAAAACTACCTAATTTGTCACAGGTCTGGCAAATGTCAGCAAAAAACAATGACACAAAAAACGTGTACTGACTAGACTTTCATGTTAGAAAACGTAAGAAAAAAACCTACATGGCTCATTGAACAACTGGTATTACATTAAAGCAGTCATTTCAACCACACTGACTTTGGCCCCCAGAGAGATTCGGCAATATTTGGAATTAAATTCAGCTGTCATAACTGGGGTCCTACTACTGGCATCTAGCAAGTCGAGTGCAGGGATGTTTCTAAACATACTGAATGCACAGGACACCACACCTCCAACCCAACAAATAATTACTTGGCCTGATAATGTCAGTAGCATGAAGCCGGAGACACACTGTCTTAAAAGTTTTATTGCCTGTCTCATTAAAAATGCTTAACTATAAGAACAAATATGCCTAAAAATCTAAAATAAAAGCATTCAAT